GACGCACCTGATGTATACTCGCCCTCGCAGAGTCATATTAAGAAGATGAAGTGGACAGAGGTCAAGATCGGATAAATTCAGAATTCAGACGTTGTGATATACATGTACGATGAGCCGACGCTGCATGTGAGGAAAGACCTAGCCCGAGAGCCTCGAGCGAGGAGGAAACCACAGGCCTCTAGCGTGGGGGAAACGAAACATGCAGACTAGAAGAGGACCTGTAAATATAGAGTACCGCATCCCGGAGGAAAAATGGAGCCCCACGCCAAGAAAGAGATCAAAAGTCGATCCAGGAATATCGCATTGCGCAGGGAACAGGTAAGGGTGTATGAAGCAGAAGAAGCAGTGCGTCCGAGAGAAAGCGGAACCAGCGCGGAAGACAGAGATAGGAAGAAACCACAGAGTGGAGACCAAAAAGATCGCAAACAAAGTCAGTGCATGCGCCGCGGCCCGGATAAAAGGAGAGCGGCCTGTGATCCGCGGGCAAAGCAAGGACGAACGGATAAAAAAGGGAACCAGAGACGAAAACGAAAACTAGGACGAGAGCGCCGTCCGCGACAAGCACAGTAGGTGCAGACGGACCCAACACAGGCGAGCGCGTCGTGCGACTCTAAAATCAAAATGGGCGGATTACTACAATGGGAAAAGAGAGCAGGCCGAAAGTGAGAGAGGGGCCTGTGCATGACCGCATCAAAGACGAAGAAAAGGGCAGAGGGTCGTGCAACGAAAGATGCGCACGGGGACCACGAGATATGCGCATGACGCAGGAGAATGGAAGCGCGTGCCCGCTAGGTAATGCCAGCGCAGAATGCCGGCGGGTCACCAATCCCAAACGGAAACGGAGGGCCATCGCATCGCAGGGAGAAACATCCCAGCAGCCATGAAAGATGACACCAAAGACGGATGCAAGGAAGGAGGGAAGGGTGAGAAGGAAGACGGGGGGATACACCAAAAACGTAAGAAGAGAAGGGAAGAAGGAAGGAAGGAAAGGGCGGAAAGACAAGAAGGAGGGAGGGATAGCGAATAGGGAGGATAGAAGAAAGACGGATTCGAATGGGGATGGAAAAACACTCACCCGCCTCCCTCAACAACCTCCTCACCTCCCTCCCACCCTCGACCCGCACAACCCGCGACAGCCCCCACCGCAAACACATCCCCAGCTCGTGCGGCCCCCGTGAACCGCGCCTCCTCCGGCCACCGCTCCTCCGTTTGCTGACTGCCGTTGCGTGAGGACGAGTTGGAGTCCTAGCAGGTGGTGGAAGGCATGCGCGAGGCGCGCGACGGCCGGGCGGCGGACGTCCAATGCGAGGACGGAGAAGACGAACGGGATAGCGATGCCCGTGTGCTCGAGCTCTGCATACACGCGTGCGACCAGGCGCGCGGCATCCGGCAGCCTTAGCACGGCGTCCCGCGCAGGCGAGAGGAGCTCGTACGCTGGCCGCGGAGCTTGTCCCCCTTGTCCTGGTCCTACGGCGGTGATGGGAGTACTACTACCCGAGGCGGCAAATGGCACGGCGTTGTCCGCGGGCAGCGTCGTGGGGAGGAATCCGACGGCGCTGTAGGATGAGTCGGCGGGCAGGCTGTGGCTACGTGTGCGCGCAGCTTTGGTTTGTGTTTGGACGGCATCGACGGCGGCCGCGCGCGCGAGAAGAGCGACGGGATCCTCAGCCTCCTCTTAGATACAATCTCCTACGAGGCCTTCTTCTTGTCGTACAAGTTCTCCTCCCGGAGAGGGCGTAAGTCGACCTGCGCCTAGGGTTCTGCTCGCTGTCCGACGGCGGGGACGACTTGGACCGGCGGCGAGGATTCGTGTGGACTGAAGGAGAGTGTTACGTAATCCATCAAATTGGATCATTTTGTTGGGCGGAGATCCCCGCCACGGTTTCTGAGCTTCCTTTCACGGTCCTTCCATGCCACTGCCTCCCTTTCTTCCCTGCTATTCCATCCATCGCCCTGAATCAACGAGCAAACCGCCCGTCTTTCAAGTTCCTCCTACTGTCGGTCCTTGGTCGGTCCTCGGATTCACCCCATTCCACGGAAGCCGTTATTTTCGATAGCCATTGTGGCTACCACTCAAACACGCAATAATAATCTGATACTCAACATTTACTCAGGGCCGGCCGGCAACCCAATTTGACGCAACCTCTCAAACGCGTATATAGCCAGCAGATATGGGCATCCCATGTATATTCATCGGGCCCGCGTAAAGGGCGCCGACGTCAACTGGCGTCGCCGATCATGATGCGTTCTCATTCAGCGCCAGAAAAGTGTTGTCTCTCGGTATTAGAAGGCGGTGAGCACAGCAAACAGATCTTTCTTGACAACATCGGCTCGTACTAAAGTGCGGGGTAGTACTAATGCCTCCGGCATGCACTAACAATCTTTTGCTTCACAGCATATGCGGCGCGCGCCGCGGTGGAGTGGGACTTCCCGGCTTTAAGGCCGTCCTCCAGCTATGTGGTTTCGATTTTGATTTTGTCTTTTTATCCTCCTCCATCACTCTGTTTTTGTCCGATTCATCCTCCGCGCCGACGTCCACCCTCCGACATGTTTTGGTTCAACAAAATTTCAGGACCTCGGCCAGCGTATATATTCTCGACAGAAATTCTAAACATCGCCCGTACAATTCCTCACCCTCGAACTCCGCACTCATCCTACCTCTACTTTTCAAAATATGACCTAGTGGCGGAGGGTCCGCACCTGCCTCTAATATCTAAGTACCAGCGTTTCAGTGCAGGAGACTCTGGTCCGAATCTAGGCTAGGTCCTTCGTATATTTCAATACCCTTTTTGTCTTCTCATTCATCAGCTAGCGCTGCCTCAAATCGAAGATGCAGTGACACATAAGACCTTGTATCTCGAAAACCACTTTGGGGGGCTTCACCGCATGTTGGATTCCATGGAATTTCCCGTCTCTACTCTGAGGCCGTCGTTCGTACTTCTTCTTTACTCATTATCCCAAATCTCACATGTTCTCTCTCCTTCTCCCTCGTATCTTCTGGTGCAGCCTGCACAGGCTGCACCGTACTCGTGTTTGCGAACTCGTTCTCGATGGTAATTCTGTAACTACCTCACGCAGCGGGTACGTCCGATTCTTCGCCATGTAATTCCCCCACTTATGCAAGCTCTTTTTGGTAGGAATAAGACCTAGTAGCGAAGGGCCCGCACCTGCTTCTCGTAATCACCGACGAAAGGCTACAAGACAGGAGCTCCTGGTTCGACTCCAGGCTAGGACATGTCTTCGCTATGGTCTTTTTCCTCTTTTTGTTTCATTCCGTTTCTCTGATTCGCAGAATACACGGCGGGTACCATGCGATGGGAAGCAAATCTGGAACTACTTCAACGCAAGCACATTGTCGGTACTAGATAAAGCGTGCATCTGCGCCTAGAGTCCAAGGTCGAGTCGGCTGCCGTGCGTGCGTGCGTGTTTCCTGTTTCCACTTCATCTTCGATCTCCCCCCTCTCATCTCCTTTTCCCACAAATGTCAGACCGCAGGCCGTGAATTCCGCCCGCGAAATATTGAATTACACGAGCTGGTGTATGTGATCTTGGAGGGTCAATTTACTGGACTTATTCAAGGTGTTTTGGGTAGCAATGAGACCTAGTAGCGGAGGGCCCGCACCTGCTTCTGATAAATATTTGCCATGACGCACTCCACGCAGGAGTTCATGGTTCGACTCCAGGCTAGGTTATGTTCTGTGGATCGTAAACTTTTTCGTCTCCTTTCTCCCTCAAAGTTCAACATATCGCACACACCGTCGAAGTTAACACATCGCTCACGCTTTCAAATTTCAACACATCGCGGGGGAGGACGCCCAGCTAATCGTTTACTATACACAATTTCTCTATCCCGCATTTATTCAACATCTTTTGGTAGGAATGAGACCTAGTAGCGAAGGGCACTGTACCTGCTTCCGATCCAAGATCGGCGCCCGTGCGTCAGGGCAGGAGTCCCTGGTTCAAATCCGGGCTAGATCATGTCATTTGGTACTGTAAAATTCTTTCATCTATTTTCTCCCTCGAAATTCCAACTCATTGCTCACCTTCTCAAAGTTCAGCGCATCCCTCAAATTTTGACAGATCACGGGGAATGATCATCGATCATCGGTTATGATACCCCATTTCATTCCGAGTTTATCAGCGCTTATTCAAGGTCTACTTTGTAGGAATAAGACCCAGTGGACAAGGAATCGCGCCCGGCTTCGATCAGCTCAAGGTATTGCTGGGAGTCCTGGTTCAACTCCAGGCTAGGTTATAGGGTTGATCCTTGCGTCTTTTTGTGCCCAGCTCGCTATCGGGCATTCCCTTGCAGGAGGTGCGAGTAATTCATCGTTCAGATATATATCTACATTCTGGGTGTGTGGATCAAGTCTGAATTTAACAGCACTCATCCGTAGGGTTACGACCTAGGAGCGGAGGGCCCGCACCTGCTTTCCGTGCGATTCAAATCGTGGAAGGGGACACTCTGGTTCAACTCTAGGCTAGTTCAATGCTAGCCGTTGAATTCTTTTTTAGGGGTCTCGTTCGAAAATTTATCACTCGATAGCACTTCTCCTTGATCTAGGTCGTGCAACAGATTTGGTACTGGTGTCGCAAGTAATTGATTGTTGGAACCCAAGACATAGGTATCAACATCTGTGCGGGTTTTGGGACCCGCATTTTACACCACTTATTCGAGGATATTTTTGGTAGGAATAAGACCTGGATTAATATCGTTGTGCAGGGAGGGCTTCCTGGTTTGAGTGAAGGCTAGGTCACTGTTGCTCGTAAAAATCTCTTTTTGGGTCTCGTTCAAAAATTCAGCACTCGATATAGACAACACGCTCTCTTTTCTTGCTCCTATGTCGATTAACCAGATATGCTAGCGGTGTCGCAAGTCATTGATTGTTTAGACTCAGAATATGGGTACCACCATCCCGCGGCCATCGATGTCTGGGCCTGTACAGGTTTTGGGACCGGCATTTTACAGAATTTAGTCGAGGTGTTTTTGGTAAGAACACGACCTAGTGGCGAAGGGAATCGCACCTGCTTCTGATTTGTGGTTTCTTTTAACAAGTTCAACGCAGGAGTTCCTGGTTCGAATCCAGGCTAGGTCATATTATTCGAAGGAGTTATTTCTTTTTTTAGTTTTCGCTCCGTCATAAGTTCGTACACGATACCACCCACCATGTGAGGCAGTTAACCCATGATACTATTGCACCACCGGTTCCCTGGCTTGCCCAACAACCGAGCTTACGTGGGCCGCCTGATCATGCGCTGGGTTCAGAAAATTGAAAATCAGAGTATTTGAGCGGAAAAGGATCAATCCACACACTGCAACAGAGCAGAGACGTTGAACATTCATTTCGGAACCCAAATATCCAGATCAAACAACATTGGGATGCACTGGATGGCACGCCGCGAACAACGGTATTTGGACTTTGGAATGAGCCCAGGGAAGGTTATTTCGCGGTCTCACTGGTTCAGCCATTCTGGAACTTAAATCAAGATACAACCATCAACCAGAAAGAAATAAAGACAGATGATTGTGAACGCGGAGAAATTAAATGCTGAAAAAAGACACTCTATCAACCCACGCCGGTGCCGGGCATCGAACCCAATCTGCTGCTTGCAGTGCTAGCAAATGGGTTGACGAAAATTGCATGTTCATCAACAATGTCAAATTGCACAGCAGGACTGGGAATGGAAGTCATGGTCTGGGCGGATTTTCGTTCGGGAATGGATAATAGATCGGTGTTTGGGTCCATCAGAAAAAATCTTGAACTTGAATGCCATTTATGAGCAAGTGGACACGGAAGGAAGGACGGAGCTTACGGAGCTTGCGATTCGATTCGTCAATCTTTGCCGCGAGCTGGCGTGAAAAGCTCGCGAGATCGTTGTCCGCGCTGTGCGAACATACGGGACAGTTGTTAATTATCGCGCGCTCCGCGGGCCTGATCTTGGGCATCTCCAATTGCACAGTACGGCTTGTGGGCAGCATGCATAACGCAGTCGCCAGTCGTTCAATGTGATTCTGGAACCATTGCGCAGGGGCGAGACACGGTAAGCCCGCTGGAGGAGTCCAGCCGTAAACGCGCCGAGCATGGCCTGTAACGACTTCACGGGGGCCACATTCCGTGCTGTGGAGTGGGAGCGATGCAAAAGTTGGCACCGACCACCACGTATACACGTCTTTGGTTTCCGGATCACGAGTTGGGATGCTCCTGGAAAGCATGCAAACAGCATTCCCCTGAGCCAATGCCTGCGCCGTCGAAGCGCATGCAAGGTGGAACGCGTACAGCTTGTGGCCATCCACCCACGGGAGGATTTACATCTCGGGAAAGCTGACTGCGGGACATACAGGGTATTTCAGAGTGGAGAGCGCCGCCTTGCGAGCAAGCTCTGGGAGTTTGCGGAGCCGCGCGATAGCGAATATGCGATGTGGATGCGCGTTTAGGACGACTGGGCTTTCCAACCTCACCTCCATCAACCGCTCCACGGCGATGAATTGATACTTGTGCGCCGCCTCAAGGACGCCAACAATCACATCGAAATCCTTCCAGCCGTTTGCCTCTCCGTGCGTGGTCTGCGCCGGGTACGCGAGATAGAGGAGTCCATGCAGAACAACACTGGCCTCAGGAATCGCTAAGATAGGCTTCCCGTCCCGCCGCAGTTCATTTGGGTCGTCGCTGGCCTGTGGGAAGGAGAACATGGTGTCGAAGAAGTCGGAGACGAATTTGAGTATATCTTTGTGGATATGGAAATCGACTCCGTCGCTCGACCTGAGGATGAAGTCGGCGGGACGATGGAGACCCAAGCCATCTTGAGCGCCTGAGAAGGGTGCTAGGGCGTCCTGGAAGGGTGCTGGCTGGTCCGACATGAGCGGCTGAGAGAACCTCGTCACGTCGTGTACACGAGGCAGTCACGTGGACAGCTGCGTTGAGCGCTGAGGTAATTTTGACTAGGGCTATCTCCGTGTCAAAAACAACCGAAAAGGACACGATATTCGTGAGATTGAAGACAAGAATTCTCCGAACACAGAAGGTGCAACAACAGAAACCTCAAAACATCCCCCCAGACATTTCCGAAGTGTCAATCAATCCTCAAATCAGGAGGTGGTTCACCCTACATCACGGATTTGCAAGCAATTTGAGCAATAAGGAACAAGACGATGAGAAGTTGAAGGAAAAAAAGCTCCAGTCTTGTTGCTCGCTACTAGTACTCAGACTAGAGCTGTGGCACTACGAATTAATGAAGAAAATTCCAGTGCAATCGTGAGTGTAAATTCTGGCGGGGGAAGAGCAGCGGTGACGCGCCAAACGACTGTCTAATATGGGTGGGCGGCACAAGGAGGGAGGGAAGGAACAAATTGTGCGAGTGTTCCAATTATAGATCTGGTGCCGTGACTGATAACTGGCGGCCGAATAATACAACGCGGGCTGGAAACGGTGGCCGATCGAGACGGAGGTGAAGTGGAGGCGAAGCGGAGGCGTAGACGGATCGTAGGCGTAGGTGGCGATCGACGAGTGAGTGCGAGAAGGATGTGTAACTTAAAGTGTGACTATGGGGGAAATCCAAAGTGAGTTGTATTCGCAAAATACTACTGTATTTATACGATGTGAGTGGAAAGGGGAAGTAGATTATGGATAAATGAAAAGGAGAAGACAATAAAAAAAGGTACATAACTTCAGGAACACTGTCGAGCTGAGCATCCTGCATTCATGTCCTGGTCGGCGAGTTCCTCGCCCGATAATTTAATTCCTTTCCGTTTTACCGTTGTTCCGTCTAGCCGTGGCCGTTCTGCCGCTGTTCGGGACCACCGTAAGTGAATCGGGGAGAGGAACGAGTTTGGATGGTATTTGAACGATGCTGATTAAGCTGATGGTTCAAGTTGTTGGTCCACGGGCTCAGCGCGCAGGCGTGCGCGTCAGCGGAGAACATCCACAAGGGATAAACTAGGAATATTAAATTACACGATTTGGTGTATGTGATCTTGGAGGGTCAATTTACCGCACTTATTCAATGTGTTTTGGGTAGCAATGAGACCTAGTAGCGGAAGGCCCGCACCTGCTTCTGATACATATTTGCCATGACGCACTCCACGCAGGAGTTCCTGGTTCGACTCCAGGCTAGGTTATATCCTTGGGATCGTAAACTTCTTCGTCTCCTTTCTCCCTCAAAGTTCAACATATCGCTCACACCGTCAAAGTTTAACACATCGCTCACGCCTTCAAATTTCAATACATCACTCTACACTTACCATATACTATCTGTGCATGCAGTGATAGTTCCTGCGGCGTTGCTGTAAATGCGGCATGGAGTAATTGCGCATCATTAGAATTACTTCCGCGTCCTCCCCCGCGATGCGTTTAATGTGAGGGCGTGAGAGATGTGTTGAAGTGCGTGATGGAGTGAGCGATGCGTTGTAGTTCGAGGCAATGAAAGGGAAAGGACACGAAAAAATTAATAATTGTACGATAGATTATGACCTAGCGTGGATTCGAACCAGGGACTCCTCTTTTGATAGAGGTGTGAATGAACGAATGATCAGAAGCAGGTGCGAGCCCTCCGCTGGCGGAGGCAAGAAGATTCAGATTTAAAGGTATGTCCATTCACAGTGCAGGGTTGTGCCTGCTACACTCCTTGGGCAGGGCAGGATGGCGGGCGGCGAGGAGCCAGGAAAGGAGCGAGCAAAAGTACATGGAGGTTGGAGATATCGGCGATTGTTACGTCGTAGCAGGGACAGAGCAGCGGCGGCGTAGCAGACTGTAGCAGGCCGGAGCCGGGTGGAGCAGAAGGCGGGTTGGCGGGAGGCGCGGGCAAAACCAAGCGCGTTCGGCGATATCGGCGATAGATGTCATAGCTGGTAAGAGCGCGATACGGAGCTACATGGGCTCCGAGGTCCGAGGATGCTCTGACTGAACAAGAGCAGAGCAGAGGCGTAGCGGGGTAGCCTAAAGGGAGGAAGTGTAGAGGACGGGGCCAAGTACATCGGCGCCTTCGGCGATATCGGCGGTGGCCGTCTCGTAGCAGGTCGGAGCACGATACAGGTGTTAGAATTACATGTTTGGTTCGGCGTGCTACGGTGGCGATACGTAGTCACACATTCTAAATATATTTTGTCGTCTTGATTCCGAGCGTCCATCTGTGTCCATGTCAGTGTTTGTGTCTGTGTCTGTGTCTGTGTCCGAGGCGCCACTAGCGTCCTCATCTATGCATCCATCATCTTCCCCCACTTCGTTTAACAACAGGCTCCGAGGGTGGCTCCGAGGTGGACGGCCTTATCGGGAATTGCTACGGACGGAGCGTGCTTTGATTTTGATCGCAATGACGGCATTGATTTTTATTAAAAAAAGACGCGATCGGAGCGCGACGCGCTGTGAGTCGGTCACATGTGGGAGGCGTTTCCGCCGCGTTGCAGAAAGGATAGTGAATATCTCCGGTAATACTGGGGGGAAAAACCTGGGTAAGGACTCAAAATGACGACAGTTAGCATGGAATTCACATGGTAAAACGGCACAGTGCCCGGAAGTTTGTACCAAGTGCTACAAGTCGGGGGAGGCAGATTTCATATAATTTTTAACATCGTCAGAGTTCAATTTGCGGTGGACCCAATAATTGGGTGCTTGGCATCGGAATTTGGGAGGAGAGGTATTTTGATATGGGGAATCGACCTGGGAGGTCGTCCGGACACGAAACCGACGGGAAAACAGTTATTTTGGGACTGCAACGGCGGGAGGTCCTGGTTGCGTTTGGCTCGGAGCACGAAAAAACGCTGCCCCATTTCGGAGGCGCTAACATTGGGGTGAAGTTTCGTGGGGATGAGGTCAGGGGGGAAAATGGGGGGGGGGGGGGGGGGGGGGGTAGGATCGACCCTGTGAAGCTCCGAATATTTGGAAGTGTCCTTAATAGACGTAGCACATGTGGATATCGAATGCTATTCCTGGACACGGCATAACCTAGGTAGAAGTACAGAAGGATCGTAAATTAATTATGCACAGTTGCGAATGTTAGGGAAGCAGCTATCGTGGATGTAAAGAATCGAAGGTGCAGACTGCTGAAAGACCGTTGTAAGCAATCACCTAAGCGAGGAGTTCCTCCCAAGTATCGAGCTCGAAAATAGTCGGTAACTGGTTCCACAATTTTTGGTAGGCAGCACTATATTTCGCGTTCGCAACCTCGAAACATTCGGAACACCCTCCGAAACTGTCCCATGCACCTACACTTCCATCGGCCAGTGGATCCACTGTATCTTCCGCCAAATCCAAGCCCATCCACCGCAGACGTTCCGAATCGCACTCGAGCGTACTGTCGCACTCATCTTCTTCATTGCGCTTGAGGTACCGCAAAGCGTGGCGCTGAGCCAACTGAAGACGGGCGTACCCACGGATGCAGCTCTTGCGATACTCCTTGTCGACGATTGGGTATTTCCCAATACCGGAGACAAGTTCGTCGAAGTCGAGGTGCGTGCAAATTTCGTACATGACAACGGGCAGAATTGGGACGATCTCTATCTGCACTGCGAGGTTAAGGACAGAGATATGGTCAGACTGTGGTGACACTGGTTGTTCGCGACTCGCAAACGGTATGAGGAGGTTTCCTACTACGTGCGACAGGCATGTCCATCCGAATCCAACTTCAGTTTCAGTCATACATATGAATCATCATTTATGAGTCCACAATCATAATAAAGATTCTACCATAAATGGAGCCCTCGTTCCTTAGCTATAGCCTTTCCCTCCTCGAGTAGTGGCTTATTCCCTTCGAATAGACCCCGTACTGAAATGGTATGCCAACCGGTGTACTTCAGAGCCTGGACAAGTCCATGAGGGTTTACACCAGGACAGTTATCAAGGATGATCATGTCGCGATTCCACCCGGCTGAACCAGTTTTCCGCAACACCGTCAGTTCCGAAAGAACGTCGCCTTCGATACGCAAGCTAGAAAGGGAGGCGAGATGGCTCATGGCTGCATCAAGCGCATACTCCTCGTCGCTCGCTTTTGCAATGGAGCATTTCTCAATGTTGAGCTGTCGTAATGTAGATGCAACTTGAAGGAGCCAGTCCTTCAAGCCCGCATTTGAAAGGCCGATGATTCCACTGAAGTGGACATCGGAAAGTGATGAATGCGATCCAGCTGTGAGATTGCACAGCTGGGGCCCTGTGATTGGTCCATTGTGAAGAATAATGGTCCGAAGGGCACAGTCTAATGGTGGAGTTTGCTCAATCTGCGTGAATATGAGAAGATAGCAGTTAAGAGCAACCAAACATACTGTGAACTGTTTGACAGTTTGTAGGAACGGATTCGGTCCATCCCAGGCAAATAGTTGGAGTATATGTAGGTTCGACCACCTTTGGAAGCAACGGAAAAGATCAGGTAAAGTGGGAAGGCAACGATATGTTGGTTGCTCTTCAATCCGATAACTGTTGATCAGGAAGCTTCCAACATCCCTTGATTGGCTGAGCGCCTCTGCGAACTCCTCCCGTAGAGATGAGTGTGTATCGATAATCTCCAACTCGCGAACATGTTTTGCCGAATGAATGACATTCTTGAATGCAATCGACAGATCCAAATATTCCTGCTCGTTGTTGACTGGAGCGCAGCCGAAATGGCTACGAGAAAGGTACCAGATAGCGTTGCCGAACTGTGGCTCTGCTTGAACAGCTTTGGACAGAGCCACCAAATCTGGCGCAGTCCTCCCACTTGTGTAAGACCCGAAGTCATGGAAGAGATGCTCCAAAGCAACGACCCAGTCACGACAGACAAGTGCGAGTGAGATTAGTGTTGGCCTCCAAGACCCGTGCTTGTCCTCGACCGCACAGCCAAAGATGGCTGAGAGAATTTCAACGGGAGGTTGCGCAAAGATGCGACGTTCTCGAGGACAGATATGCACGGAGGACGCGAATATGCCCATTGAGGCTGGGTATGCGCATACCAGACCCGATTTATTGTTGGGCTTGAGTGATCCACGAAGGGTGTGGTTGAGACTGAGATAAAGAACGATGGGATCGTGGGTAAGTTGCACAAATTGGTATGTGATTCTGCGAGTCGGTCCATCGGTGATCGGCCAAGAGGGCAAGAGAATGAGTTTGGCGCATTGCCAGGTATCGTCGCTGACATCCTGTACCTATATAAAGCCCAATATTAATCAAGATCTAGCTAGAATACGGGTTGCCAGACTATACCTCGTACGCTATTGTACACAGCGGAAGGTCCAGCGCGGGCAAGCCTTGTCCAAGCAAGGCGTCTGAGGCTTTATGGGCCGCCTCTTGTTCCAAAAGAAGGTTTTCGTTGGGATCCACGTCGACTCCGCGTGCAGCCTCTGGGCCTTTGGCCATGTGTTCCCTCTGCCACCTCGCAAATTGGACATTTTCAATACCGTCTTTCACTCCCTGCAGTGCGCGAGTTTATAAGGGCATTATAATCGAAAGTGAAATACGCACCAGTTCTTGCAGTTCAGGGTCATCTTCTTTACAGCAAACGACAACCTGAATGCCGGAAAAGTGTTTTTCCGCTCCCGGTTCCAACACGACAGATATGACAAAGTGATTCCCATTCGGTGTCTCGCCAGGCCCTTCGAAACGCGACTCGATACGATGCAATTTGGAATCGGGGGCGGGGGAAGTCATTGGATTGAGAGGGTGCTGGGGAAATCGAGTGCATAGCGAAGAACAGGTTCATATACTACAGGTGTCGTGAATCAGTAACCATGGTACCGAACAATCAAGCTGATGAACAGAAGGTCAGTAGGTGGGTAGGTGCATAGCATTACACAGCACTTCCCCTCCCGAACGTCGGTTTCCAGGGAGTATCTTGACGCAATATGCACTACCAACTGACTACACCAACACCACTGTCTCTGGGCCCCCCGAGTCCTAATAGCCAAGCTCATTTTCGCAGTGGATTTTTAGAGTCTTTCTCGCCAAGGTGGGATTGATGAGCGGAAGGTTGATGGAAGGGCTGTGCGTTGGCTGTGCGCGTACTACATCTTTGTTTTTTATACATCTGTTCGTCCGTCCATCCGAAGCCCTTTGAAACTCCGCAATCAGCTGATCAAGTATTACCGGTCCGTTCTAAGTTGGATCTAAGCTACGTATCAGACACGGCCGCGGCCGACGCCATGCCGGCGCAGGCGCT